TTCCATATTTTCCATGCCTTAACTGACGGTCTTAATTTGGTCTTCTTCTTCTCGGTTAAATAGTTTCTTTGTTTTTGTAGTCGTTCCAAATTACTTTGACTCAAAATATTGTAGACACAAGCGTGGAACGACGACTGAGTCTCATTGCGGACTGCGTGAGCACTCGGGTGACAACTGCTATTTATGCTTCTCGGTGAAAAAACCAGTAACAATTTTAAATTTAATTAATGGAAATGTTTTGTAACATAAATTATTATTAAAACTTTATCAATGTAACTAAGTAGAACCACACGCTCACATTCACATTTACACTTTGCTGCTGCTGCTGGTGGTGCTGATGGTGGTGCTGTGCGGTGCGAGTTTTTAGAACAGAAATACGTAGACACACTTGCCGCCTGCATGCACTTCACGTTGGCTTGCAGTGCTCATTAAACTAATTTACCACAATTCAGGGACATGCAAACTCATTAGCAGTGAGTTCTGCATTTAATTTTAACTTTTGAACAAATTAGTTTTTTTGCTATTAACAGCTTCCTACAGACAGGCATGCCAGATACATGCCTAGATAACAGCATCGCCCCCCGTTGCCCGTTGCCCGATGCCTAATGCCAGATGACTGCTACCTCTTGCCGTCTTGCCGCCTTGCCGCCTTGTGGCTTGCGAACATGACAAACCCAATTAGCAGCGCACTAATTAATCACTTGCAAACCGACGCGCCGCAATAAATAAAACCTCTCAAATTACCGCAACGTAACCTAACGAAAATGCGGCACATGACGTAACGCTGTGTTTTACGTGTACGTAAGGACATCTTGTGCTGGCTGCGTCCGCGTCTTTCTTACTTCTGTCTGCTGTCAAAAACTAGTCTGTGAGTCTGTCGTGTCTGTCTTTTGGCGTGTCACCGTGCCGCCCCACTTTATCTTTCTCTCTCTTTCTCTCTCTGACCCCTACACTCGTCTACATCGCTTTTCGCACCCGAGTCCTCTCATCCTTTCCACATTCTGTGGATTGAGTTAATTACTTAGTTCATTAGCACGCACCGCTTTCTGTTAAGCTTTTCATTATTTCTGCTTTTGTTGTTGGTGTTGTTTTTGTTGTTTTTGTTATTTTAATTAAATTTTATTTCATTTCGTTTTCAATTTCAGTTCTGTTGGCAGCAGCCAGCCTTCTTGCTTTTCCCGCTGAGAAAAGTTTTTGCCGCCGCGCCGCTCACGTTTTTTGGTTGGTTCCTGGCTTTTAGTGGGCTGGTTGGCTGGTTGACTGGCTTGGTAGCTGCTTTAGTACCGCCGTGCATATGTACACATTTAGTGAGACAACGTGCGATATTGTATTTAATTTGTGTTGTGTTGTGTTGTTGTGAATTCTGCGCGCCTGATACTATGCGCCGAGTTAATTGGTTTGCAAACAAATTAACGTGGGTGTGTGCATCCTAATTAGCAGCTTTTGTAATTAAATATGCCCGCAGCCATTGCAACACACACACACGAACACGCGTACTCATGCCACACGCAAGAAGTTTAAATGGCTTTTGAATGAAAAACTGTGTTTTGTGCTGTGTTGTAGTTAACAGTTTTGACTGTGCTGCCGCTCCTTCTCCACCTCATAGCAGTATGAGTAGTCGTTCGTCGTTCTTCTATGGAATACCACAATGAAAATGCATTTTAATTAGGGTTTTTTTCAATTAAACTTTTATATTTATTGCAGTATTTCGGCTTGGTGTCTAATGTCTTGCAGAGTTGCCACGTTTGTTTATTTTAAATGTAATTTTTATGAACGAATTTTAAAAGAGATCCTCTTTCCAAGGAAGACTACTCTCCTTATACAACATATGGGAATACATTCAATATACAATAAATATAAATTAATATTTATATAAAGGATGCAAATGATATCTTGTGACTGTCCAGCTTTAATAACGCACAGTAGATATTTGTTTCATATGGAATTTCTGTCCTTAGAACAGATTAAGAACTCTTATCTAGATTTAGTTCTGGACTTTGATCACAAAGCTTTATGGGGCTTTGTGTAATCAATAGTGACATTGAGTCCTACTCTTCTGAGCAATAATGTAGTGTCATTACGAAGCAAAGAAAAGATATCGCATCCCAAACATATTTATAATCTAAAAGCCATATAAGCCAATTTTATTATTTTCGTATACGTATATACACCATTTGCTTGATTATAAGAGAAAAGAAAAGTACTGAATTATTATTTCTGACTTTAATTAATATCATTTAGCGTTTCAACCAGGCGCGGGCTTTAACTCTCTCTACTTTCTTGATCCATTGACCGCAGTCTCTGACTAAACGTTACAATTTTTTTGCTTATAGCTCTCAACTTTTAATCGATATCATCAATTAGTTGTATTTTTAAGTATCCTCTGTATCTAGGATACTTGGTTGTACTTCTTTACTTCATTGTTAACACGTTTGCTATCCAACCCAATCTTAATGTCAAATATTCACAACTGGCACTACCGTTATTTCAGCATAAAACCGATTGAAATTAGTCTAATCAGTCTAATCTCGTTATAAGTCAAGTTTTGGAGATATAAAGATAAAAATATTTGCGGCTTACTTACCGTTGTTATGCGATATCGCGTATTTCGTTGTTTACTACTGTTGTTGCAGATGTGTTCCCCTAGAGATTTTAAACTACTTACTCACCCATAAAATTAAATTTCCTCCTCTGCTCTTTCATACAGGACCTAATAAAACTTAATTATCAGCATAAATTACAGTAATACCTAATCTATTGTGATGATTAGTGAAAGAAATTCTTTTAACAATCAAATATTGTTTTATGCAAACAAGTATTTTTTATTCCATATTACTTGCGCCTATAAATATGCAAACTTACACATATATAACCACAGACCATCTGTTCGAATGCCAACATGTTTTATTGCTATTTTTAACATCAAGCAGTTGAAGAGAAAGACAAAAAACTACAGGAAGATAAGAAGGTAAGAGAAAGATACAATATGTGAAAAAATAGCAAATATAGTAAAACCTATAAAAAAAATGGAAATATTTATTTCGAAATCCTAATACTTCGGCATTATTAGAGATATTAGATTAGATATTAGATGCTGTTTCAAATTCGGAATAGAAAAGTTAGAACAGCCATCCTTAACAGTCTGTTGCCATATGAAAGTATATTCGATAAATCTAAAGTGAAGTACAGTATCTATTAACAAGTGTCATTTCGTTCCTTTTTTAAGAACAGTCTAGGTAACATCCGCCTTCCTTTTCATTTTTTATTTTAGAACGTCTTAAAATTTGTTAGATCTTAACATTAAAGTAAAAAACTCACTTTGTAGTAAATGCTGTTGAGGTCAGCAGACTATCTGTTGTATTTTAAAACGTCGTGCTCTTTTATTAATAAAGTTAAGATAATTATTATTGTAATTTTGTTGACGGATTTTGCGACTTAAACATCAATTGGATTTTGTGTGATTATTTCTTCAAGCTCAACATGAAATATTAAAGCTATTTTACAGAGTCTGACTTCTGCATCCGACATGAAATACACACCTTGGTACTTCTTGGTAGAACATCTTATATGGGTTAAGATTATCCGTTAGTAATTCTATCAGCTATTTCTACCAGTCTCGTTGTAGTAACAACAGTGAACCAGCTATATAACATGGCACTTATCTAGTACCTTGTCTTAGTAGTATTTTTATTTTATTTTCACCCAATTATTCATTAGAGACTTATTCCTTGATCAAATAATTCCGGTCAACAGAATCCTTTAAATAAACCGGTTCTTATAAGATTATCCGCGCATCTATTGTTGTCAGTTCAAACTTAATTTAGTGAAGTACTCACAGGTTTTGGCTTGCCAGTAGCTATAGCATGGCGTCAATATCTCTTATATGAGACGAGCCTAAAAATAGATCCATTGTAGTAGTATACTGGTACTGTGCTACATTTTTGGAATCATTTTTTCATCTATTACTGTTTATAGATTTAAATGTTTTAATCTTAGTTGCTTAAAAATTTATTTAAAGTAATCGTAGTCTCATGAAATGGGCTGGCAACACTTACACTCTGCCCATGCGATAGTCGAAAAAGCAAGCGGGACAGCGAGCAGTTTCCAGCAAACGGCACGACACGTACGATTTGGGGTACGTGAATTTTCATTTCATTAACAAACTTAAGCCAGAGGAACTCTTTTTTGCAGTTGTGTTCGTCAGTGTGGCCCGCTCTTAGTACTATGCTAAGCCCATTAATGCAATTTATGGTGGTAGTTGATGATGATGGTTGTCGTTGTTGTTGTTGTTGTTTTTATTCAATTCAATTTGTGAAAAGGGCCCAATTAAAAAGCCACAACAATTAACGAAGTGAGTTAACTTGGCATAAGTGGAAATTTAATTGGCAACAGGGAAATGAGCATTTTGTTGCACTAATGAACACTAATGAATGGGACAATACTTGGATAAGTTGTTGTTATTGTTATCGCTATTTGTTGTTGTAGTTTTTGTTCATTAAGTAAAATTAAATATAATAACGAGCACAACAATAATTTGAATGGGTTAAAAATAAGCAATTAGTTGGCATTTCGAATAGGCGCACAGCACACAACAGCAGCAAACATTGAAGAAGTTTATTAGATGAAATTCTCAATGGTAAAGTGGAGGGTAGAAGACAGACTATTATATCACCGAACTGTTAGCAAATGGGCAGCAGCGCAGGCAGGTAGAGATAGATGAAGAAGGTTGAGTATGGTCGGTATGGATAAGTACGTGCATGCATGCCACATTTTGTGGTATGGGAAGTACCTACACAGTTATTTTTTTTAAATATTTCGTATAGACGGACAAGCAAGATAAATCGACCGAACAACCGGCAACCGACAACCGACTAACCGACATACACATTAATTTAATAT